CCTACTTATTAGGTCGAACATTCGAAAATACGGCGTCGTTTAGGAAACATCGGCTCGTTTCGCGTTTCTTTTCACGATTCTATTCCGGGCAAATTGCAGAGGCGATTAGTTCCAATCTCGAAAAATTACGACGGCTTCTTGTTTTCGCTGCGAATTGAAAAAGTTCCCGCACGTGCGAACGCCTGTCATCGCATCATAAAAACCCGCACCGAAGGAATTCTTTTGTACCGGATCCCGCAGAGAAATTCCCCACGAATTTCCCAATCTACTCTACTTCATAATTTATTTATTCTGAATCTACTCTGAATGTACTCGGAATCTACTCTGAATCTAGGTACTCTGAACTTATGTACTCTAAATATGTTTTGAATCTACTCTAAAACTACTCCGAATATACTCTAAATCTACTTTGAATCTATTTGGAATCTAGATACACTGAACCTACTCCAAATCTATTTTGAATCTACTCTAAAACTACTCCCAATATACTCTGAATCTATTATAAATCTGCCCTAAATCTACTCTGAATCTATTATGAAACTAGATACTCCGAACCTACACCAAATCTATTTTGAATCTACTCTAAAACTACTCCCAATATACTCTGAATTTATTTGAAATCTACCCTAAATCTACCCTGAATCTATTATGAATCAAGCTACTCTGAACCTACTCTAAATCTATTTTGAATCTACTCTGAATCTATACGCCGAATCTACTCCAAATTGACTCTAAATCTCTTCTAAAACTACTTTGAATCTATTCCGAATCTATACCCTGAATCTATACTCTTTCATCTTTACTTCAAATCTACTCTGGATCTACTCCGAATCTACTCTGAATCTATACTCTTCCATCTCTACTTCAAATCTACTCTGGATCTACTCCGAATCTACTCCAAATTGACTCTAAATCTCTTCTAAAACTACTTTGAATCTACTCCGAATCTACTCTGAATCTATACTCTTCCATCTCTACTTCAAATCTACTCAGGATCTACTCCGAATCTACTCCAAATTGACTCTAAATCTCTTCTAAAACTACTTTGAATCTACTCTGAATCTATACTCTTCCATCTCTACTTCAAATCTACTCTGGATCTACTTTGAATCTACACTCCGAATCTACTCCAAATTGACTCTAAATCTATTCTGAATCGCCTCTGTTGAATCTACTCCGAATACTTTAAATTCTCCCTCGATTGCCACACGCTCCGGCATCGAGAAGACGTATTTAGCTCGGCGTTATTGAGACATTTATTGCATCATTGTAATCGAAAAGTAAATAACGAAATGTTGATGTTTAAAAATACGCGAGCACATCGGACGATTCACAATTTTTTTTTTCGGCTGTTTTCTGTAGCCTGGCCGTGTCGCAATTTTCCTTGAGCCGCGGCCATCGGACTCTCTAAAAATACGCCGATTTTCGTTCTTTTCGAATGATGAATTTTATCGAGTTCATTGCTACACATTTCCCCGGAGTGTGGAAATCGAACGGCGAGAGACAGAGGGTGGAACGGGGAAAGCGGCGCAATCGGGAGGACGAAAATTTCTACAATTCTACAGAGACATTTTTTAACGAAGCGAATCCTTTTTATCGGTCGAAAAAGGCGACATTAGCGGCGTTTCGCGATAAGAAAACTCGAATTCGATACGATCGTAAATCAATCGAGAGTTCATAGGGTCGTTGGAAATTTACAACCGCCTATCATAAAGAAAGATAATTCGATGCGTTTTGTTTTATGTATAAAATAGTTCGCGGGATCGGTTTTTGATTTGGTTTTTCGAAATTTTACTGCAATTACTCATCATAAAGATAGTATACAACTCGTTGAGTAAAATAAATAGATTACTTAATCGCAAATAAAATTACAAAAACTCTAAGTAAATAGAGGAAGATGCTCCCGAGGCCACGAAAATAACATCAAATGCTCTCTCATAATAACATATCCGAAATTCACTCGCGATTTGTTTTCATACACGAAATTTTCGGTACGTTTTATTAGTTTTGATTCCAGCTCACAATACTCCCAACTATTTTTAGAGAAAGGTTAACACACTTTGAAGAATCGCAATCGATATATAAACGAGGGAATCCCCAAAAACAATTTCTACATTTACCAGCAGCAAACGAAATTAATTTTCACCCGTGTTGACTACATTTTCTACAACTAGTTTACAATTCTCTAGCGACTTATTAGCGATCATTAAGCGGCCGCATAAATCACAAACAGGCATAAATTTTTATGGGACGAATAAAATTCCGATTTGCATTCGACGAGCTCGGCTCGCATCCGGTTGGGAGAAAAATTTCCACTTAATTACGTCTAATTAAAGCGAACGTGTTTTTCATGAAAAACGCTCCGAATCGACTTCGATTTCCTCTAATTGTCGTTCGAGAGAATCGTCGTGACGTCTTCTCTCAAAAAGGTTAAAGGACTGTTTTGCTCGCTTGTTAGAGGAGTCGTGGAAAAATAGTGTTAGATACACGAGCTCGAAAGCCTTCTATTCTCTACGGGGTGCACCTAGCAAGATTCTGAGTAGAGTAGATTTAGAGTAGGATAGATTCCAAATAGAGTATAGATTCAGGTTAGAATAGATTCAGAGTGAAGGAGATTTGGAATAGATTCACATTAGTATAGTAGAGTATAAGATTCAAATTTGAGTATATTCAGATTAGATTCAGAGTAAAGTAGATTCAGAGTAGGATAGATTCAAAGTACCTAAGGTAGATTTAGGTTAGAATAGATACAGAGTAGAGTAGATTCAAACTAGGTAGAGTAGATTAAGTACAGAGGGGATTCAGAATTCAGAGTATAGAATAGAGTAAATTCAAATTAGAATAGAGTAGATTAAGAGTAGAGTAGATTCAGAACAAAATAGAGTAGATTCAAACTAGGTAGAGTAGATTCAGTACAGAGGGGATTCAGAATTCAGAGTAGAATAGAATAAATTCAAATTAGAATAGAGTAGATTAAGAGTAGAGTAGAGTAGATTCAGGTTAGAGTAGATTTAGAATAGAGTAGATTCAGTACAGTGGGGATTTAGAATTCCAGAGTAGAATACAGTAAATTCAAAGTGTAGAATAGAGTAGAGTAGATTCAGGTTAGCGTAGATTCAGAGTAGAGTAAATACAGGTTAGCGTAGATTCAGAGTAGAGTAGATTCAAACTAGGTAGAGTAGATTTAGTACAGAGGGGATTCAGAATTCAGAGTATATAGAATAGAGTAAATTCAAAGTAGAATAGAGTAGATTCAGAGTAGGGTTTCAGGTTATAGTAGATATCTACAGAGTAGATTCAAAATAAAGTAGAGTAGATTCAGAACAGAATAGAGTAGATTCAGAGTAGAATAGAGAAGGTAGAGTAGATTTAGAGTAATTCAAGTTAATTTCCCCCTTCAATTTAATCAACTGTAATCAATTTTGAAACAATTTTCACCTCTTAATTTTCTCCATAAAAATTCTTTTACAAACCATTTATACACAACAAACTATAAATTTGCATTTCGATTATCGCTAAATAATTGACTCTTGACGTTCGTATTTTACAATTAAAATCCGCCGTAATCGATTCAATGTAATAGGCTGAAAAAATATGTATCATACACAATAAATTCCGCGAGGTATCAAATTCCTGTGGACGTGTTTTATATGTTTTTTAAATACTCGCAATTGACGGGAATTGCTCGTTCGCGGAATCAAATCGAACGTTTAACTAATCGAGGATTTGATTGATGGCGCATAATTAACGATATATATAATATATATATCCCTCCATGTAGTGCATTTGACAAGCATCACGTGCAATGGGCGGTTTTTATTATCTAATAGTACGATTAGCGCTAACAATGAACAAATAATTTCGATACATTCCGAACTCTAATGGCGCGTTAATATTGTTAAATAGCGTGTATTCCAGAGACGCGTTTCATTTCATGACGAAATTTTTTAAGTTTGTTTGCTCACATTCCCGCTAACCGCGTTATGGAAATACCCAGAAACAAATCTTATCAGTCTATTTTCGTTGTGGAAACTTTCGATTTGTTTGTATTGTGAGGGAAGGAAAACGGGCCCGATGTGGCAACGTTTAGCGGGACACGCGTAATTTAACTGAATTTATATTTTTAGTGTTTACGAAATGCAAGAATTTTTGGACGGGAACTGAAAATTTACTGGATATTTAAAAATCTATTTCTACGGAGGAATGCGATTTTTTTCTAATGGGACTATTACTAAAAAATGTTTGGAGCACGATTGTTATACAATGAAATCGATTAAAAACCGATTCCAAAATCGTTATATAAAGTTTCCGATTAATTTATAATTTTTCCTATTGTACAAAGTCTAATCAGGTGAGTTTTATAAAATTTGGTTGCAAAATGTTCTGTTAAATTAAACTAGTTAATGCTCTAGATAATTCGATTTTTATATAATACTTTAACGTAGCTAATACAAAATCAATGAAACATAAAAATTTTACATACTTTTGCAGCATTTTAATCATAATGTTCATTTATTACAACATTCCCATTTAGCAATTTGCCATCAACAATATTTAATATGTTATTGTTCGATTGAATAATTTACTATTTTATCGGCTACCGAAAGATACTAACTAGAAAACAATACATAGCGCGAATTGCTGGATGATTAAATGTTCATGCTATAGTACAATTATATTTTGTGCAGGATTAAAAAATAGCAAAAGTAAATAAACGAAGCAAATTTACGCTAGGCAAATTAATAACCATTTTATACAACAACAAAATGTTACTATAATAGAACTGCGACGAATAAATTTAGTACAAAATTTACATTAAAAAAAACCAGATACCATCCGTTTCATAAATTCGATTATTACAACAAAAAAATCCACCATGAAATACAGCACGCCATTATTTCACATTTTTACGAACGCTCGCCTCGTAATTCTCATAAATTATTCAATAACTCACACTAGCGCGAATTCGATTAATAAAAGAAACACAGAAGTTGACTCACCGTGCAATCTCAGCGAAGTATCCGTGGAAAACGAAAACACCCCATCGTGTTCGGCGTAAAGTTGGGTTATGGACGAGCGAAAGGAACGCCAGCAAGCCAGCTCGAAGTGCATTTAACGATGGCGACGTTAGAGTGCAGGTGCAGCAACCGAAGGAAGAGACTCTGAACCCCGAAATTCGAACTAATCGATGCCGATGCCTGCATATGTGCCGGCTCGAGCGTGCAGCTTCTGGAACTGTCGGTGCATAATGGTCAGTATTCGGGTCTGAAGGGGGAAGATGTAGGTGGAAGGTTGATCGAAAATTGGGTGAATAATGAGGAGGGATCCGAATGGAGGGTAAAATTATGTTGGATAAATTCAAAATAGGTAAAAATTTGATCGAAAACTAAGTAGAAGGTATGGAAAAAATGTGGGGAAACCCGAAAGGAGGGTAAAATGGTGTTAGGTTGTATCAAAATAGGTCAAAAATTAGGTGAAATTTGCTGATAAAGGAGGAGAAATGCAGAAAAAAAGGATAAAATATTGTTAGATTCTATCAAAATAGTTCAGAAATTTGGTCAAAATTTGCTGATAAAGGAGGATAAATACAAAAAAAGGATAAAATGATATTAGATTCTATCAAAATAGGTCAAAAATTAGGTCAAAATTTGCTGATAAAGGAGGAGAAATACAGAAAAAGGATAAAATAATGTTAGATTCTATCAAAATAAATCAAAAATTAGGTCAAAATTTGCAGATAAAGGAGGAGAAATGCAAAAAAAGGATAAAATGATATTAGATTCTATCAAAATAGGTCAAAAATTAGGTCAAAATGTACCGATAAAGGAGGATAAATGCAAAAAAGGATAAAATGTTAGATTCTATCAAAATAGGTCAAAAATTAGGTCAAAATGTACCGATAAAGAAGGAAAAATCCAAAAAGAGAGTAAAATAATGTAATATTTTACCCAAAATATAAAATATCTAAAGTTTTAATACTAACCCGGTGTAGTATAAAAAATAAAAACGAAAATGTTTATCTACATAATTAAAGAACAATATTTTTGCGCGACTCTTTTAGTTGCAAATTCGTCTTTCTAATTAGAAATGCTAATAAATCAAATAACGCAAATTTCAGCAAAATAGTGAACTCGCAAATCTATTTGCGTTTTTGTAACAATCAACAAGCGTCACTTGTGACTTGTGATTGTGAACATTCTGTCAATATTTACTGAAGTTAAGATTCCGAAATAGGCAATAAAAGTATCGAAATGTAACTGTAAACGTCATTATTGTCATTTGTCATTAGTGTCAATTCACATATTATTGTCGATTGTCATTATTGTCAGTATCAACAGTATCGAAAATTGAAAATTAATGGAAACGTCAAATGTCAATATTGTCATATCTCGTTATTTTTTATTGTCATTGTATCTGTTATTTAAATGAAATTTCAGCAATTTCTAAAATTATAAAATAAAAATACTACAAATAAAATAAATCATAAAGCTATAAAAGTTCCATGACTATTTGATTCTATTATAAAATTGTTATTCCATACAAAAATGACAATGACATTCATTGAAAATTAATATAAACGACAAAAGTCATTATTGCCAATTGTCATTACTATCAATTCTCCTTATTTTTGATTGCCATTTTTGTTGATTGTTATCGTTATCAATTATTTTGACGAAATTTCAGCAATATCACCTAAAATTAACCGATATAAAAATATGTATAATAAAACTATGAAAGTTCCTTGACCGTTTGATATCAGTTTATAAAAATTTTATTTCATGCAAATCGATCGTCTAGTTTGAAAACGAAATTCATTCTGATTTAACCGATTTCAAAGCAAGACGAATCTATTTCGAACATTGTATGGTAATTCCTGTCTGGTCGTATTAATTGTACAAACAGTACAAAATAACCTGCAAGTGCATGTTACTTTCGATTTCGCTTTTAAATCACACCTTTGCGACAAAATCGATCCTCTAATTAAAGTTTGTTCATAATTAAAAGTTTGATACATCAAGTATTTACACGAAAGAATGACACCATTAATCTGTTTTTCACCCTTGAAAATTTATGTACCTACTTAACAAGTACTTACAAGATATACTTTATATTATTTTTGTGTTATTTTTTTTTTTCGAAACAACCTCAAGAAACGAAGGTAAAAGAACAACAACGGGATTTCTATTGATTATTGCCTCGCTTCAATTCCACATAATATAACAATTGTTGTTTCATTGATAGCACTTATCTGTATTTAAAACCGAGCGCAGAAACATCAAGTAAAAGTATATCATCGAAATTCCTTCAATAAAAACAACAATGATCTCATTTAGCATGTAGGCGAAAGACTTTCATGCTTATAAATACGCCTCGCAATATGAACTGTACAGGATGTTGGATCACCTTTAAAAATCCTTTCGAAACCGCACATGTTCCGAAAGCCCATTCAAATCGAATTGTAGAATGAGTTTAAGAGCAAATTTATTGGTTAACATTAAAATAGAAGTGTCGATTATAACATAACCGGTTGGTTATCAAATTTAACCAACCGGTAATATGTTTATAACGGTTGAATAGAGTAACCGTTTCAAAAACTCAAATCAAAAAACCGATTTAATAGCCGAATATCATAGTAGCACAGGTCTTATATGGAAGAAAAAGGAAGAAAGACAAAAACTAACCTCATTTTCATCTCGTTTACTCTATATTTGACAGTTCTACCGGTTCAAACGATTCAAATAAGCAACGTTGCCATGTTTACACACCGGTTTTGTAACCAATGAGTTATATCGACGTCTGAATGTCGATTGAAATATAACAGTCTGTACTGTATAATCGGTTGGTTACAAAACCATGCGATTAACCGAAATTAGAAGTAGGCTGTGTTAAATTGGCAAGAAATAAAAGGTATTTCAACGTGTAGGTATTTTCCTTGACATTATACTTCAAAATTCGTAACGATTTTTCGAGTGAGTCGTAGGATTTCGATGCTTGAAGAGATTCAAATTCCATATTTACATTATCGAAATAAAAAAAACTTTCGACCTTCGCGCGGGCTTTTAAGAGCGGATTTGCATGTGTAAATCTGTCATAACAAAGTGCATTTTGACTGAAAACAAACGTCGAGGTTGAATTTAATAATGTTCCAGTAAAATTTCGTTAGAGTTTTTATGTTTCTGTCGCATCCTTGCTGTATCGGTAATCCGATAAATTCGAGTTTTTGGCAATAAGTTTGCCTCATTGATTGACGTATTTTTTAATGGAAAACTCGAAAATATTAGCGAACTTTTCAGTATTTTGACGCCCGCTTTCCTGTAACGAATTTTCGCCAATTGACGCAAAAATTGGAAAAAAATAAGTAGGTGTTTTTTTTAGCGAGTATGTCTCGCAAGTTCATCGCCCGAAAATATCTCTTATACACTCGGGATTTTTATTAATTATTTTATTGGTAGTTTACTAAACACCTTTTTTAATATACCATTTACCTGTTAATTAATTTTGTTATTATTATATTAATATTTGCGGCAACCTTGGTAGGTAACCCGTCTAATTATAAACTTCTAGAACTTTCATATTAGCGTTATTAGCCAAGTCTATTTTCCATTTTTACTCCTATTAACAAGGAAATATCTCCGTGGTTATCTCTAAAAATAAGAATTACTTTGCACATTCTTCTACCTCTACGCACAAGTGCAAACAGGTGTAAATTGGATGTGTAGAACTTGTTAACAAGTACTAAAAAATTCCTGAAATAACCATCAAAAATTCTTACAACCTCCAATCAAAACCTTCTATTAAAAAATCTATTACACGAAAATTAAAATTAGATAAAAAACAAACACGAGGAAAATTCTTCAAAAAAAAAACCTTACAAAAATTGTTATCAACAATAATTTATGCGAAACAGAAAAGATTAAAAAATCTAACCGAGTTAATATATTGTTGTATTCTATTTTAACATCAAAATAAATAGCAAAGTAACCATTAGATAAAAATCTAACGACAATTATCTACGAAATTAAGGTCAAGAATGTTCGCTCTCAATTGGACATTTTACCTACCTATATGCGTATTTTTCATTTCGAATTTATCGGCATGCCCGAAAAAGGAATGTAGTTCATCTTTAAAATTATTAGTCACGCGAAACGTCCATCCCGAATTCTCTAAATATTCATAATTGTTTAGCGAGTAAACTTTTAAATTTAAGTATGTACCTTCGGAAGGAAAGTACGTTGACTTGGAAGTTTACCGGCCGATCAATGCTTGATAAATTCGCCATTTTAGTGAGTTAAAAGGTCGTTGTACAGGCGAAAAAGGAAGCGAAACAACCAAGTTCTTGCGATGGGAGTTTTCCCTTCGGCTCGTTAAAATCGAGAAATTAAATTTCTACTTCCAATTTCGCTTGATTGAGTTATAAATTCTTCTGAAACATTATTTCGAATGTTTGCTAACTCGTTTTATTCTATCAATAGGTACTTTTTAAGTGGGTATTAAATTAAATATATCACCTATTCCGCTCGTAAAATACCTACAATAATGGTGGATAAAAATAGCAATTATATGGAAACAATTTACAAAATATTTATGTACGTAAAATTCTCTAAACTTGTAATTCGCATTGCAATTGATTTGTTATTTACAAACACGTAGTAATAAAATACAGTTAACTTTTCATGTTTTTACCTTATTTTGTGGCAAATTTATCGATTCTATGAATTGCGATGGCTATTTTAATTTTAATTTCCACAATAAAAACGTCGATAATGCCAGGTATACTTGCATACTGCATTGTAACAGTAAAACTTAATGGAATTCGCATTATTCGCTAAACAATTCGTTTCAATTAGGTGCTTAGAAATTCCTATTTATGAGCATAATAGTGTATTAATTACACGAAAATATTATCGGAAGCTAATTAATAAACGACAATGTATTATATGTAGAAGGCTTAAAACAAAGTTACGAAAAATCGCGGACACCGAGAAACTAGAAAATGTTATAAAATTTACAGTCTATTTCGAAAACTAGATTGCGAATTTATTAACCTTATTGGCAGGCTTCCAGTACAAAAATCCAAACAAAATACAATTTGGTTTTGTTTCCGATTTTTAGATCTAGTTTACTAAAGTGGAATGACAAAACAAATATTGAAATTATACCGTCTGGAAGCGAGATGAAATAAAAATCGTCGGGTTAAACAAATATTAACGAAATAAATTAAGCTTAAATTCGTCGTTATACCATTACATAATAACGAATTATTTATTATTGTCTGTTAATTGTTAC